AACAATTAAGCCAATGTCAACAAAAGGGAGAGAATATGCATTCGCTACTTTAAAGGAGATATAGTATTTGAAGTTAGTAGGCTATATGGAGATTCTAACGGGTTCAAATAAAGCCCTAAGTTTATTTCCCCTAGAGACTCATAATTTTTTTGCAAATAGTTGAGCATAATAGTTAAAGGTTGTTGGATCATAATTTGTCCGCATATGATACCTGACCTTACTATAGGTAGTCTTGAGATATGAGCTAAGGGATTGGATGTAGTAGCAAGTACGGAGAGTGAAAACTCTATGTGCCCTGAGACAAAGTAGAGTGGAGTTAAGATACAACAACAACAACATCAAGCTTTTATCTAACTACGTACATCGGGTCGGCGACAACAATCCTTTTTCTCCAAGATAAAGTAGGAAAATAAGAAGATATGTAAGTTTGAAATATTTGAATGCACTAAAGAGCAAAATATTCAAACATTAAAAGCCCCAAATTCAAAATAAAAAATTCCCAAAAGTTACCTCTTTACTTTTTATTTATAGAATTTAGAGGGCTTCAGAAGAGGCTTTTGACCTCACTTTTGAAATGAGGTCAATTTTTTCTCTCCAAGGATTTTTTTAGCTATTAGGTTTTCCTATCTTTTGTGTAGAAATTATCTTTCAAAGGGGATGCCCAATGCCGTAGCATTTGCTAGCTCTAGAAAGCTTATAGACCCTTTAGGACATTTCTTAGTGACCATAGAAAGGTGATAAATTCATTTAAACTCAAACCCTAAGTCAAAACCTTAAATTATATAGAATTTAAATTCAATCCAAATACCTAAGCATGGTGACTTGGACTTGGAAATTGGTTTAAAATAGCTTATAATTGATATTAAAATGATTTTGATGATTCCCATTCTTAGTCAACCCTTCTTTGACCATGGAGGACAAAATTATTAAATTGCCCCAAGGTGCTCTACATATATTCTCGAAACTTCAAACCGAATCCAAGGGTTGGTTTCAAATACTCCTACAACCCTCATAGAAAAAATCTAAACCATTCTCTACCCTTGGCCAACCCTTTTAACAAAAAAAAAGGATAAAATTATTACTCTAGTATGCAAAAGGCCAAACTCTTTGAATTTGAGTTGATATTAGTTATCAATAACTTTAAAATCAATTGAGAGTTATTTTGGAATCATCTTTAATTTCTGGTAAATCCCTTTGACAAAAAAAAGTTCAAAATTATGAAAATGCTCCTATGTTTGACCCAATGACTTAAACTAAACCAAGAGACCTTGGCTTTGGCTCTTATTGGTATAAATTCATCCTTGGGTCATTTAGAGTAAAGTTCAACCTTTGGTTAGCCCTTTTGGCTTGGGTTAGTTGTCTAAAATTCCCAAAATACCTTTATACCCAACTTTTGGGTAAACTTAGGTTGAATCTAGTATTTTGATGTTACATTTGAGTCAAATTGATCCCAAAATCCTTTGAGATCAATTTGGCTCACCTCAAACCTCTGCTCAATGCATTTGACCATCATTTGACTCAAGGCCTCAAAATTCTCAATTTGCCTCTAATGAGCCTATCATAGGTGTCACATGAAAGTTTGTGAGGGTTGTTAATCCTTTATAAAACTAGTCCCAAGGCTAACTAAGAGAGCGGGGGGGGTATGAACTAGCCCAAGGCTAACCAAGAGGGGGGGGGGGTTGAATTGGTTATTTTAAAAACTTATTTAAACAAAAAAAATCCCCCTTTTTAATGCTTTTTCAACATATGAAAATAGATAATTTTATCCCTTCATAAGGAAGCAAAGTAATTTTACAATTAACACAAAAATAAATGCAAAAAATAAAGTGCAGAAACATAAAATCAAGAACAAACACACCAGAGATTTATAGTGGTTTGGTCAATCTGAATATGTCCACTCCCTGGAATCACCCACTCTAGGTATTGCACTAAATTCTTTAGTGACTTTTCTTTAGCCCCCACAGTTAGGCAGAAAAAACCCTTACAAACTCTCTTTCAACAACTGGGTGTGATAGAGAACTTTACTTCGTTCATAGGTAGGAACATTGACTGCTTTTCACCCTCCTAGTGAGGCAGAGAACATTGACTCCTTTTCAACCTCGTATTGAGATAGAGAACCTGGAATTACTTTCACCTT